CCTCCATAAACGTCTCTTGGAAACTTGGTTACGCGAAACAAACTTGGTAATTTTGTTTAAATTAAAAAAATTAGGTGCCCAATTTTTTTTATTATTTAAGCGCGGGTCACACTAGGCTGTTTGCCAGCCGCTGGTGATCAGCAGCTGGCGCTAGCATCACCAGCTCACCAATCCAGGCTGTGTCAGCTGCGAATTTTGTGGTCACATTAAGCTGACAGTCGCTGCTTCTTTCAATTCGCTGCTGATGCCAGCCTGGTGTGACCCGTGCTTTAAAGCTTGGAATATGTAAAAGGAAAAGCACATATTCCATCATCAGAATGGCCCTCAACTGTGACAAGAGGCTCTTGTCTCTGTCACATTTAGCAATTTCACTGTTGTAATTAAACAACCACACTGTTAGTGCTCGTCGTTCATTTATTTAAATAAAGTGGACAATTTAAATATGGCCAACACTTTGTTTAGTTAATGATTGAATCGAAACACCCTTTTAAATAAGCGTTGACAACTACTTTAAACTAGTAAACGGACTGAATTCCATAAGCTATGATGATTTTGAGTTGAGTTTCATGTTTTCTTTTATCTATATTTTTAGAAAATGTATTATGTATTTTAACATAAAAAATGTTTAATGTCATATGTACAAGTATAGTGTAGTCAAATCATCCGTGTAACTTTTAGATCAAAATAAAAAATGCTAGGTATTTTAAACTATAAATTTTTAAGCAAAAACTTGACCGTCATTTAGCTTTTTTTGTCAAGGTGTATACTTTCCATTGAAACAATTTTACTGGCCACTAGAAACATACGTTATGGTTAGACTCAGTAATACCTCATATCTGTGACAGAAATTGTGATGGGAAAACACTATTCCATACTACGGTGGTGTAATTTTAAACTAACGTGTTATATAGAGATTAGGCTACAGCAAGTTTGACCAGTATATGCGTACTTATGTTCCAGTAAACTATTTATAGTGTACTCAACAACCTTGTCACCCTTGTATTAAGAGTAATGCATATCATTTAAAAGCAATAAATACATTTAACAAATGCTTTCTGGCGCCTTTGCAAGTTTGTCAACAGGTCACTCATTATAAAGGTCAACGTATCGTATTCGAAACCAAACAAGATCGATACCCGATTCAAATGCCATTTTCATGGTTTGGGCCGTTCACACACAACCGTTAAAATGCTAATTGTACGGATAAAAGCAACCTTGTGTTCAGTGTAAACTATAGAATCAGAAATCACCCTAGCTGTGTGTAAAGCTTCCTACAACCAAAAGAGTTACTCTCAGTGTTTAAGTGGTTAGCAAACTCGTGTAAGACTTGGAGCAAACAGCAAACATACTTGCTGCAACCAGCCAATCTTTTATGCACAGTTTTATATTTACCATGCTCAACAAATCCTATTGCATTACATACATATTCTATAACAGCACCTTATGCGACATGGGGGAAGGTTTACAAAATATGTTTTGAATGTTGTGGTCTTAAATTATACAGTTTTCAGGTGTTCTGTGGATATCACATCCCTATTTAAACACTGATATACGTTTACATGTGCATTTAAAAGATCCATGTGTACAAAACTACCACAAAAACAACTAAACATGACTTTTTGCGTAATCAATATACAACATACAGTATTAGTGTGTAGATAAATGGGTTTTGTAATGATAAAAAAAAGGTTAAGTCTATAAAAATTTAAGATCTCTTTCTTACACAAAATTTGTCATCCCTTACTTATATTCTTTCGACAAAAGCAGTGCGCAGTGGAAGCCAGTAACACATTTGATGATGTTTGATTGCCCAGAGGTCCTTGGTGATCTGTGGACAATGTTTGGTACACTATTCTAAACACTAACACTGAATCTATTTTATTGTTATGACTAAATGGTTCGCTGGAATGTTAGCAGTATCTTTTACTTTTGTTTATTAAAAATATGAAATGATCTAATATCAAATTATTATCAACTTGGAAAAATATATGCACTACTGAAATGTCACGAGTACAAATTAATAATTTGTACTGTTTTATTCTAATGAGTACAACAATTTGAACAATTTACTAACTAAAAATGAAATGAGAACTGAATTAGTAAAAGTGAATAAATAATTTTAAATTACATTAAATGAAAATTGTAAATTGAATTGAACAGTTTTAAGCTGATTTTGCAATATATTTTTTTAATGAATCAATTTAATCTGGTATAAAAAAAACTTTTCCTTGGCTGATAACTTGGGAATAATAACGACTGCAAGATTATTTCGACCAAATATAACGAACAAGATTGATATATTTAACACAAATATGCCCAACAATTCAATACAAAGCTATCAAGGGATAGTATCTATTTTAGCATAAACATATTATCGTCCTCTAAACAAATTGAATTCTATAGCGAAAGGGGCGTCTGAACAGATTTTATTGATATTGGAATTTAATAAGACAGTTTGACAGAGAGGGATTTTCAAGGAACCTTAAGTTTCTAAAACGATTTCTTGTTTATTTAATGTAATTATGTTTGAGGCTGTAGAGTACCATGTAAAGGATAAGACAACTGGCCAGTTGTTTAATTCGGCAAATGGGGACTTAAGTGGAATAAATCACACCTTTGTTGTGTACCACAAACCTTGAACTAAGTGTTTGCATTTGGTAGTAAAATGATTAATTGCATAGTATACACCCCTTTGCCCAATTTTATGCCAATTTTGGAATAAACAGCTCTTGATTATTTAATTTTGCCTTGCCTAGCCTTTTAAAATATTAAATATATATTTATTCTTCTTCAGATATTTATAGGATACTACAATTGGTTAAATGGTGAACGATCAATAATCTTCATGGTACTATACAGGATATTTAATTGAAATAAAATGCTTCCCTTCTCGGTAAATTACTTCTTGTAACTAATTATTTTCTAATATAAATAGGAACAGTCTTACTTTTATCAGTAGACTTGCAAATATTGGACCACACTGGTACCCCAGGGCTCGGATTAAAGTTGCCAATTTGTAGCCACAGCACACTTGAAACTCGCTCTGGAAATATGTCCAGAAAATACTAGTAAATAGTAATAATTGTTTTATTACTAGAGAATTTTGTAATATATTCATATCTTTCACAACATGTGATTTCCTAACCAAAATAATCATGAAACAGTTCTATGAGAATTGTTACTTTACATTTTAATTTAACAGTTTTTCCAGGTGAAGTTATATAAAATCATCACACAATTAATAATTAAAAACATATTAACATCAATTAGCATCACTTGAATCATATTTAATTAAATTTCAATCTTTGTGAAACATGTGACTTTTATACAATCTGTAACAGGAAATTGACTCTGTATTAAACTACAATTTTTACACTTTGTTGATGAATTGCAAAAATATATATATTACTATAAGCGATATATGAATCGTGGCATCTGAAGTACAATACATATATACATTTATTCCACTTAATACTATAATTAAATAATTGTTAACTTACATGACAGCGAGTGTGTGTTTGCTATGGGGCCCATATATAAACTAGAACTGAACTATTGACTTAACCATGAATTTCATCTTTGACCAAGAATGATAACAGCTGATTTGCAGGTTTTCCAACAGGTTAGAGTGATTTGCTTTTCATAACCAAACAACAAATTATTCCATTTACTGTATTTACATCCTAAGTGGTCAGTTAATTTATTTTGTTTTAAAATAATGAAAATTAAAACTATCACATAGTTGTACAGTTGTCATATGCAGTAGATAGGCTAACTCTGGGCTAAGTACATTGGGTTATTATTTTAACTTTGTGAGAATTATTGAATTAACAGTACTCGACCTGTCAGCATACAAATCTGAATTGTTTAGAATTTACACCTGGTGAACCTTCTACCAAAATTTTCTTATATAACCCCAAATCGTTCAGACACCGAATTTGATTTAGAGTGACAACTTTGTTGGAAAATGTTATAATACATGCAATGACCAGAAATTGAATTTAAAACACTTTAGTTAAACTTGAAATTAACAGAATATGACAGATAGTTGACTTGCTGGAAAACGTGTAAAAATGTGTAATGTGCTCACACAGGGTGGCCAACACAAATCAAGCCTTTGCAACAAATTTTACATCAATGCAACATATATTAAATATTAATTAACTCAGCAAAATGTCTCAACAATAGTATACTACATGTATGAACATAAAAGGTATGGTACTGGCTGAACTAATAACTTATATAAATGAAATTACTTACGTTTTGGGTCGATCCATTAATCCAACACAAAACTTATATTTAATAATACTTTAGTCGGTGGCAAGTTTACAAGACCGTAATTTAAATAACAACGAAGAATTTATTTTTCCACTGGATCAAACAATATTAGGTCCTAACGTTCTCTTGGACGAGTTTTGCTGTTTTAAAATCAGACTAAATTGTATTTCAAATAATAAATAAATTATTTATAAGTAGTTTCGCGACAATTGTACTTAATAAAAGATACAGGCCTGTAAAGCAAAGATTGTTATTTTTTATACTCGACCAAAAACGCAACGAACTTTTCATAATTGCTGACGAAACTGGTACGTGATTATCTGACAAATCTCAGCCACCGACTGACTGACTTTATTCTGACCTGACCTTCAGCCTTCAGCCTTCAGCCTTCACACTGGAGTCTAAACCTTCGCTGTATCATCGCGATGTTGTCCCCTGGCGCTGTGGAGTGGGGGAAATGATTCTCCCTCCACCTCCATCATCGCGATGTTGTCCCCTGGCGCTGTGGAGTGGGGGAAATGATTCTCCCTCCACCTCCATCATCGCGATGTTGTCCCCTGGCGCTGCGGAGTGGGGGAAATGATTCTCCCTCCACCTCCATCATCGCGATGTTGTCCCCTGGCGCTGTGGAGTGGGGGAAATGATTCTCCCTCCACCTCCATCATCGCGATGTTGTCCCCTGGCGCTGTGGAGTGGGGGAAATGATTCTCCCTCCACCTCCATCATCGCGATGTTGTCCCCTGGCGCTGCGGAGTGGGGGAAATGATTCTCCCTCCACCTCCATCATCGCGATGTTGTCCCCTGGCGCTGTGGAGTGGGGGAAATGATTCTCCCTCCACCTCCATCATCGCGATGTTGTCCCCTGGCGCTGCGGAGTGGGGGAAATGATTCTCCCTCCACCTCCCCTGGGGTAGACGGCGTCCAAACAAGCCCGCGTTGTTTTACATGCATTGTAACGGTGTCTTTTTATTATTATTTATTTATTATGTTATGTAGGCCTAATTCTTATTAATCTATTGAATTCTTATAATTTAACACTTAGCTTAATGCCGCTTCCTGCGTCGAAGCTCCGGTCGGACGACTCCCTTAGTCCCCTGGCGCCACTTCGTCGCGTCGCTACGTAGGTTACGGTACTTCGTCTTTACTCGATCTCCGTCGTTGAAGTTGTAGTCCAGTTCAGTCAATCACCTGTCGTTGTAGTTGTGGTCCAATTCAATCGGTCACCTGTATCACCGGTGTCATCATCTTGCTCCTCGATTTCCGTCGTTGTAGTCCAGTACAAACAGTTCAGTCGATCACCTGTAGGCCTATCGCCATCTTGTTCCTCGGCTTCACGACTACCTTTACCACACCCTCGTAGTTGTCAAGATTGGTAGCAGTAATAAGACAAGTTGTGTTGAGTAATGAGTATTTATTGAGAAAATAGTTAGCACAGGGCAACACGTCACTAACTAGCCTGTCCTGATGATCCAAATAATTTAAACTAACATCTAGACTAACTCTGTTAGCACCCACCCTCACTCAACACCGGGCTCCTCTCATCTGTCTTCACCTTCACTTAGGTCTTTAGTCTCTCACCCCATACGCTACGCCCCCGTACCCAGGCTTTGGACTCGTCCACTAGACGTTTTGCCCCGTAGAGTGCTGACCCCTAGTGGCCGAGTTTTGAATTAAGTCGCATAGTAGAGCGCGCTATCAGTCATTCATGTAGTTAAGAGGTATTTTGATTTTTGATTCTAGTAAATAAGAAAAATCTGATCATACCCGTTACAATACCCCCCTTATTTTAAACTACAGTTGAGCATAGCAAAAACTGTAATTTAAAATAACATTCCATCTAATTTGGATCATCAAAGAACTTACAAATCGTACTAATATTAATTAAGTCTACTTTACAAAATCTTTGAAATATAAATCTTCGTTCTTGATGGATGTGATGACTTCCATTCGTGACATTACATAGATTTCTACCTGAAAACACCACAATACTGGTAGGCTACAGGTTATTTTAACTACCTACCTACCTAACTTAAAAATAAAATGAATCATTCATAAAATTACAATTTTCATCAGGAATGACAAAAATATTAATTGCAAAAGCATCTAATTCTCACTAATGAGCATATGATCCCGCACTCTCATATCGCTACTACTTTTCCCTTTCAATTCTCCACTTATGAGAACAATGCACAAACAACTATCCTGAACCTCAAACAATAAACAACATTATGCAATAACATTCTAGTTATCAATAATATGACATTTAAACCAAATATTTTATGTACATAGTTTTGCCTTACTTTTATCGATTAATTTCGTAGGCTACTTGATAATTAACTGTGTTAACAACACGCAGGCTAGGGTAAGGGTTATGGCTGACCTTTACATACTTATCCCTTCTGCTTTAAAATTGGCTTTTATATTCTAAGGACTTTTAATGGCATAATGATTAACGATTCATAGGGATTAGCTATATCAATTTATTCACGGTAACGCTTAGGCCCCGGCCACACGAGGCGAATTTAAGCCGCGCGGCTTATCTTCGCGCGAAGTTAAGCCGCGCGAAGTGCCTGGCCACACGGGGCGGATGAACCGCTTCCTGTTGGGTTTTCCCAGTTTCAGTATTCTATTAAAACATAGTTCAGTTCACTCTTTTTAGTCATGGACGAAATGCGTATGTTTGTGCATTAGCAGTGTGTGGTGATCTGGAACCAAATGATAACAGAAATCATTGGGTCCATCCCTTCTAACGGAAAACCCATTTTTGTTCCAAACCTTATACAAGCACATGTGAAACCATAGTTCGGAGTTTTTTTTTGTTATTACCGTATGTCTGTAGCATCTTTGACCAGTTCAATAAGCTTGTATGTATCAAAAATTCTTTGAACACCACACAACCGGTAAAAAACACGCAAAACAAACTAAAAAAACACTGGTAATGTCCTAAGAATATCTCCAATAAGCGCGGCTGCCGCGCGGTCGAACCGTATCGTGTGGCCACTCTTATAAGACTACGTGTGTCATCCCCTCCAACGCGGCTTAACTTCGCGCGGTCGAGGGACGACATGGCGCGGCTCAACCGCACATGCGGCTAAACTTCGCCTCGTGTGGCCACTCTCATTTGATTAAATGTGTTGTCGATCCCCTTAACTTCGTGCGGCTTAACTTCGCGCGGTTAAACCGCCTCGTGTGGCCGGGGCCTTAAGCTGCGACACGTTATAAGCTCCCTTAATCTCGTCTCTAATCACGTCTTTCAAAACATATGCGTTAGCCATTTTCCTGCCAACAATGGGCCTTCGTATATTAATAAGAACTTTTTAATCTTTTTATTTATCTTGGCTGAGAGGTGGTGCGTCTTGACTAACATTTTATCTTCGATTCTATATTCGACTGGAGTTATTTGCCTGTTAAATTTTTCACGTCTCTTCTCGGCTTTGGTTTCTATTTTAGGGTCTTCATTCTTGTTTTCTTTGAGCTCTTTCATTTTTGTCTTCAATTGCTCGGCCATATCGTCATTTGATGTAATACGCTTCACATAACTACTACCTTCACTTTCTTTAAATTTACAAAATTCAACCGTCGCACATAACATTTCATCTTCGTCTATTGTTGTCTTGGATAAATTAGGCTTAACTGTTTTTAAACTATCAATCCAGTTAGACTTTTTACCGGTTATCAATTGCACTTGCGTTCGTCTTCCATTGTGGTATAATGTTATGAACCCACGTTTAAAATCTAGGCTAATATCGTGCTGACGCAAAAAGTCACATCCAAATAATATCTTGACACCAACGTCTTTTACTACCAAACAAGGTACTTCAATTATTTCTTCAGCGCAATTTACCGGAAGTAGCACTTGCTTATCTACTCGACGACTACGCACTCCTGTAATTCCTACCACATTAATATTTTGTACGGGTAAAACCGGCAATTTATTGTTGAAATCCTTTTGTAGTTTTTCAAATGTTTCTTGATTAATAATAGTAACCTGGCTTCCCGTGTCTAAAATTCCGTTGAACTTCTGGTTTCCTATCGTGATCTCGATTTCCGGTAAAGGCTGCATGAGCGCTATATTATCATTTTTATTATACTTTTCTTCATTGAGAAGCTCCTCTCTTATGTCTGGATCCATAAACATATCAGCTTGGTTGCATAGTTGATGTGTTCCAACTAGTGAATTTACGTTCATACAATATTGTGGTTCAAATATTCCAATTTCACTTAAAATATGGTCATGTACCATTTTTGACCCTTTCTTATTTAAATGAACCAGATCCGTCACATACCTACCCCCCAGATATATCTGTTTCTCATAAATCTCTTCTAGATTTTTACCTATCAACAATGAGTATACATCAATCACTTTCACTTTATTACCGTCACCTAGATGTTTTATGAAATCATTCACTTTGTTCAACTTTAAAGCGTGTTCTTTATCTGACAGTGCTAATTGAGGAATAGGTTGCAGAGTTAACATTATTACCTCCTTATTCTTTGACAACAACACGTTTATTAGCTTATTAAGCTGCGTGCAAATATCATTTACCGACTGTTTTTGTAGCATGTTATTCGTACCCATCCAACATATAATTTTCTTAGCCATATTTTTATAATATTCCTTAACAGTTGTAATAACTTGTTCAATTCGTTGACCACCGACAAAATAACCAATACTATTCTTCTTATTTTCTACCACGACTTTGTACCCTAGTACCGAATTAGCTAGTCTTACAGCTAGGCTATCACCTATTAATTGATAATCCTGTATCATTGGCCTATATCTGTCTCCATTATCATTTAAGTAGGATAGGCGGTCGTTTAAGACAAATCCAAGATGGCGGCATCTAACCTTAGGTATACTAACACCCATGTTGTATAACCTCACTTTAGGTGTACCCACATGATCTAACCTCACTTTTTGTCCACATGGTCGTGCTATTGCTCATGAAACTATTCTATTGTTATCTTTTGGTGAATTTGATGTGTGTTGGTAAGGAGTCATATGAGGTAACTTATGTTTTGTCTTGTGTTGACCTGTTGTGTTGTATGAGTTTCAATCCCTAAGGATGTCTTGTGTCTGTAATTCCTGCGTAATGTATGTCCTCTGTGTCTTGTTACTTAATTGCGATTGTCGATCATGGTGTGTAATTACCGATTACGGTGTGTGATCAGTTGGCCGATTACGGCTCTTGATATGGCCTTGTACCTATTACAACCACTGGGTTGGTGGTTATGGCCAAAGGTTACTGTCTGTGACCACCGATTATGTCTTGCACAATTATGGCCTACGATTACCAATTATGGCCAGCGATAATCGATTACGGCCTGTGGTTTTGGTCTACGATCACCGATCAACGCTCCATTATGGCCTGCGATTGTCGATTGCGGCCTGCGATCATCGATTACGGCCTGCGATTATCGATTAAGGCCTGCGATCATCGATTACGGCTTGCGATCATCGATTATGGCCTGCGGTTATCGATTACGGCCTGCGATCATCGATTATGGCCTGTGATCATCGATTACGGCCTGTGGTTTTGCAAGCACTGTGGTCTGTTATTACTTCTTATGATATTTAAATACCGATTACGGCCTGTGATTGCCATTTACGGTTTGTGATTATTGATTACGGCCTATGGACTTGATTATAACTATTGATTTCTTTCTACGGATAGCGTTAACTACCGGTTATGTCCGGCGTGACCTCTAATAATGATCTTTGATTGCCAGTTACAGTCTTAGATTACATATTGTGACCCTTGACTACTTGAATAACTTGGAGTTACTGATTATGACCTATGATTATGCCCTGTGTTTAACTGCTACTGACTCCAATTACTTAGTTTAGCCTGTGATTTCCGGTTGTGTTTTATGACTACTACTGCCAAACCAAGACCAACCTAGGATGTTATGTGACTACCTTACGATATTTATCAATTAGGAAAACCACTGTGGTCTGTATAACATGATGATGACATGGAGAGTCTTTATGGTTATCTATAGTTTCATTGGACATTTAGCAAAGAAACGTTTAATGCACTCAGCTACAGCAGAGTTAACATCTGTTTTGTTAGTGCGATTTAACCCTAATTTGTACATTGGATGGTAAATTCTGGTGTTTTTAATATATTGTACAGGTTTGTAAAAATTGTAAAGACTTTTGCTGTCTTTTCAGGAAAAAATGCATCCCGATGAATTAAAGTTAGCAATATAATCTTAGCTTTGATTTTGTATGGCATCTGAAAATTTGATGATTCTACTCAGCTAATAAAGCTATTTTACGCCTAAATATGGATGTCACAAAAATACACTTTGATGTGTTATAGAGTAAAAAAACTTATTGTTACTTTTGATAATAAAACTCTTTTACAAATCCATTGAGATTACAAGGTAAATCATAGGCTAGAACTGAACATATATATCATGGGCTGGAACTTTTACATGTATGTCACATTTTTAAACTGTTATACCACTTTCCGGAGCGTATACCTTAAAAGAGTTATACGTATACCAAATGTCTGGAACTGTTATATAGTCTGAAACTGTTAAACGTATGGTCTGGAACTGTTACACGTATGGTCTGGGCCTGTTACATGTATGTCACATTCTGAAATTGTTAAATATATACTACTCTCTGGAGTGTATACCTTTAAACTATTATACGTATACCAAATGTCTGGAACTGTTATATGGTCTGAACCTGTTAAACGTATGGTCTGGAACTGTTACATATATGTCACATTCTCGAACTATTAAATGTATGGTTTTGCACTGAACAAGGTCTGGAGCTGTACTATAAATGTAAATGTATGTCATTTTCTGGGAATGTTTCACATCTTATTTATATAAATTAATGATACATAACAGTTACATGTCCTATTAAGAGGAATATTGTGATTACTCATTCTTCACTCATATTTGGGTTAACACATAGTGGTGTCACTATCTTATAATTTTGATTGATAAAAAATTAACTGAAGGCTACTTAATCGGAAAATAACTCAAAAACCTCTGGGTTAAGATAAAACACTAGAATGACTGAAAATGTGTAGTTTTAAAATTTATGTTGTTATCTTTCTTTGTCTAAATTCAGTCGTAAGTCACACATTCTATAGTAGTCTATTGCATAACATCAAAATAAGTTTAGGTGACCCAGTTTCCACACCACGGTAAGCTGTTAGGCTAGGCCGTAGGGTCCCAGCGCGTTCTTTTTGTTAACCCAGAGCTTCACCAAGAGTCCTAACCTCTGGGGGTAGGCTGCTTCAACCATTGTAGTCTATGATAAAAATTATTACAGATTTGGCACATCCCAATTTTTTTGTCCTTTGACAAATGTAAAGGGTTATTTACTCAGTGAAGCCTTTCAATTAACCCTTTTTTACCATTGACAAAGGATATTTTACTTTTATATGTTGTCTCTGTCAACCCGTTCATTTTAAAATTCATCAGGCCATTTACTAGGCGAACCGTTCATTTTAGCCTACGACATTTCATTTACTAAGAATGACAGAGAATTTAATTTTTTTTGTTAGATTATAGTCCGAGGTGAGAGGGAAATTAGGTGACATGGAGGATAACGCAATGTTTTACGATTTTTAGGTCAACCTCTAGCCCCTGGACTTATGGGTTTTAAGCCTGCCTGTTGGGCCTCACACACACACGTATGGGGAGGATAACACAATGTTTTATGATTTTTAGGCCAACCTCCTGCCCCTGGACTTATGGATTTAAAGCCTGCCTGTTAGGCGAGTACACATACACACACGAGGAAAAACCTCGAACCATAATCCGTTTTTTAATAAAGAACATCTCTAGTACATCAAATGATCATTTACAAAATTACTACTTCATCACGATATGAAATGACTATGTCCTATTTTACTTATAAAGCTGTGGATTTCAAGAACTTTTAATATTTAAATGCTTCAGCATCCGTCAGAGTTGACCGCCAATTACAGAAGAAAGTATTAGAACAGTTTTTGTCTGTATAACCTATGATAAAAAATCATAAAAGCTTCATATTGGATAGGGTTTGAGACTATCCTTTCACTGTGTGAAACCAGGTTAAGCATTATACAGCCGGTCCAGATTACCTGGTTGATGCCGTATAATGCCCTCTCCCTTATTTATGAAGCTTATTTACAAATTTACATCTTGAACTTGCTTTAGTCTTGGACATTTGAGAACTAGTTACTGAGGCTTTCCAAATGACGCTTACCCCTCCACACATGGTTTACGGGCCTTTTAGTCAGCCGCGCCAGTGACCTTCACACATGGTTTACGGGCCTTTTAGTCAGCCACGCCAGTGACCATCATTCACACATGCACAAGGAGTAGTTCAGGTCCTTTGAGATCTGAACGCCTCAATGTACACTCCCACATACACACCATGGAGTAGCGCCAGATCAGAACGCCTCAATACTGCTTTCTGTCCTTACATTAGCCATCAAGGGAGAGAATAGACTCAATTACATATTTACTCTTTAGGACATGTCATTTTATACCATTAACTGAATGATTATTTTTAAGGATGCTTTACTGGCACTGTTTTTTTTTATTAAAGGATATAGAATTTTAAGTACCAAGAAATCTGTTAGTCCCTAGGAGCTTTGCATAGTGACAAGATTTTGCACCCAGTTCCCAGTTTACCCAGTTTACTGTACTCTAGGAGCCTTACTATAACCAAATGGTAACGTTCCATACTCTCCTTCAAACTTTCTTTTAGGACCTGTGATTTTAAATACTTTGCATTCTGTTATGGAAATAATATCTCTTTCTTTGGTTCTTCTTATTCTGTTTTCTTCGATATCAATGGACTGCTTTACTTCACTCAATACCATTTCTTTTAATTTGTCAAAGTTTACTGTTTTTGAGGTTTTCATATTGAGAGTGAGACCTTTGATTTTACAAACGGGAATCAATGTTTGTTTATTGGTTGACCAGACAAGGTATGCATAGGTCTTTGGACCTCCGGATACAAATTCTGTAATGTATGACCCGGGTCCATACTCGGTCAACTCATCGGTCATTTCACCGAGATAATCTCCTGTGGGAACTGTATACAAACTACCCTTATATACATATAGTACAGAATCAGTATCGTAATACAATACTTGACCACCCAGGGAATCTAGATGCTCATAGAGCTTCAATCTCGCTTGGGCAGTAGTGTAAGCTGCCACCACAACATTTACATTTTGCAACGGCTCACCAACCTCATCAATGTACTCCCAGCTAACAACAACAACCTCGTCATTGACAATCTGCACTCTATTTACATCTATTTCAGGACTTGAAAACATCTTAAAAAGTGTTTTTGAATCCCTGACGATTGTAGCTTTGGTCTGATTTTCACGCTGTCCAAACTTGCCCCAAAACGAGTTCAACATAAGTTTAGCCAACGACCTCAAACCACCATTTTTTACAATTTTGTCTTTTTCTAGTTGGACACCCTCTTTTTTAAAATAGTCATCAATATACTTGTTTTTGTCCTCATCAGTCTTACACCAGCCTGGGAACCCTGACGCTTCCTGTTTCATTTTTAGAAATTTATTTATAAAATCTGTAAACAAACCCCCATTCTCATATGTGGCTACCTTATACTCCCAAAGTTCAAACATTTCCAAAATAATGTAGCCTTTTTCTACAGCTTTACGAACTTCATCCATTGTCCAGGTTCCTGTTAAAACTCTCTCCTCAGTTTTACATACACAATTCTTCTGATTTTGAGTTTCTCCACATGTCGCGCACAAAACAAACATTAACTTGTCATTCATTTTGGCTGGGAGAACGGGGTGATAGAGCTCACGAGGTGGGAGTACTTTACACTTTAATAAACCCTCAACATTGAGACCTCTCTGTCTACACTCTTTGTCTCCTACATAGATCGTTGGATGTCCTACAGGGTACTTGCCGTATTTACATACCCAGGGATAGAGAGAGCATACATCAACGTATTCAATGGTTTCCCCTTCGGCGCATTTGTGATAGGTTTTAGCGTTCCCGGTTCTCCCCCCAAAAAATGCTTGCCTCGGGTTCAGAGGTAAATTGTTGAGGATCGGCAACTTGTCTAGATGTTTTAGGTTTTCCGTCTTTTTTAACTTTCTAAATTCACATTCCCACATTTGTACAACGTTATCGCCCAACTTTGCTATTTTCGATTTAGTCCGTTCATACCGCAAATAGAGTGAGTCAGAGGGGTCCTCTTTCAAAGCCAGTTCACGGTCGTAGGGAAAGCATTTAGGGCAGCCATGGAAGTAGCAGCCTTGAAATTCGTAAATATTTTGTCCATCATACCCATCAACTTTCATTCCATTGATCTTAACTTCTTTGCCACGGCCAGCGTGTTCAATTCTAACTCCACGTTTGCCCTCTTCCCACGATAGCCACTGTAACGCAATAGCCGACTGAGCGTCTGTAAGCCTATACCCGTTCTTTGGGATCAAACCAACTGTTTTAGGTTTCAAAAAATTCCGACGGAAGGCCAAGTTACAAGCGCTGGCGATGGTTACAGCTTCAAGAAAAGGGTCAACATTACACTCTTGGAGGAAAATTGAGCGGAACTTTAAACAAGCTTGGGCCAAGATATCAACGTCTGATACACAGTACTCGAGGATTTCTTTCTTAAAGTCAAATGTAACGTGGTTTGCAACCTGATCATTATACCAGTTTTCAAAATCTTTGTGTGATTTTTCAAACATTGATTCTGGGCAGTAAAACCTTTTTTCCGGTATAGGGCCCACGTAATTTTGATTCTCAAGGGTGTTGAAGAGGTGGGGAAAATAGCCTTTCTTCTTTTCGGGAGGCAGGTCAAAGGCTTTGGGCAGTGCAGCAAGAGGCATAGGGAAATAACTAAGTGAATCAATAAACCTCACATTGTCAATCTCCATCAAAATGACCTTAGTTCCCCGCATTACAAGTTTTGGAGTGAACTTTGTATCTTCTAGCACATACTTGAGCAAAAATTGAAAATCAAAACCCTGCCCATTGTGTGCAATGACACAGACGTCTTTGAATGTTTTACGGACTTGCATCACATAGTTCATGAACTGATCAACAGGGTTAGATTTAAAGATTCTTGTACGGTTTTCACATGTTGTGCAACACTTTCCGTCAACACATTCATAGCAAAACTGTTGGGACACACACAAATTTACTTTATGAACCTTTATGTCTGAATTTGAGGAAAGGGACTCATCTTGGCGTGTCTCCAAGTCAAAGAAAATAAACAAAAAGTCTTTGGATTTAGGCTTTCTCTTGTCAGGTTTCATATAACATTTGTGGTTAGCGTCTTCAAATGAACCACAAGGCTTACAAAATACTTCACCACATTTATGAGGCTTAGACCGTTCTTTAATTCGAATAAGCTTTCCACAGTCTAGACACTTTTTTACCAATTTGCATTTATCAATTTCATGTGCAATAAAACATTCCTGGTTTCGATAGGTCATGTTACATTTAGGGCACAGAATACCGCCATGTTCCTCTACACAAGGAGGTGAAATAGTTTGGCACTGCGGGCAGATATTTGAGCATCGGTGCTTACCTTTGTGATCATACGGGACATGACAGGCTTCACAGAAGTAGACACATGCAAATGCTGCAGTCAAACTATTAATCACATTGTAGTGCCCATTGTGAAACAGTAAATTAATTTTGATTTTTGGATTTTCTACATTTCCCTCAAAGTAGACATCACGTCCTTTCCTGTCATAGTTGTACACAACAATTTTGTAGTCCTTTAAGAAACTTTGGAATTTTTCAAGTTCTGGGATTCCTGCACCATTCTTGGGCATTTCTACTCTAGCATGACGTACAAGCTCTTGAGCTCTATCAGTTTGTCTCTGTCTACGATCTTTACAAATCAGATTATAGTCGGGATCATTTGTTATTTTAGCTATAGCCACTACCAAAGCTCTAGGAAGACACAGATTGTCCTTATTATTAATGACAACAATTCCTTTCCTTGCTTTACACTCCTCGTCAAAAGTATTGTACAATCCTGGTCTTACCCTTCCAGATCCCACAGGGAGGTTAATTCGAGTGCACTCTACTTTAAATGTGTCGGTAGATTTGATTGTTTCAGAGTTTGACTGTACAATACCCCCAAAAATTTGCCACAATACATCCTCATTAATTTCACTAGCAGGACGAAAATTTACATAGCCAGGTTCCTTAGATTTCAAGTTAAGACTTTGTAGAGTAAACCCCAGTTGATCATTTTCAAATGCTTGCTCTTTCATTTCTCTAACGATTTGACCAAAACCTTGTCTTAGCCAGTCAAATTCACTTGTGTTAGGGGGAGGATTTGAAAATTTAAATACTGTTTTACTTCCATACAATCTAAATTTATTTACATAGGTCTCATCTTTATGTAAGAATGTCACAGGTTTTACTACATTATCCAAAGTAGCTGCTTTTCCCAACATGTTGCAAGTATTTAAAAAGTAGGTCTAAGAAATAAAGAGTCAACTTACGTATGGTACAAGTAAGCTACTGACACAACACAAAAGGAACAAGAGCAAAAACACGTCCGTCACGATCAAGCTCCTCAATGAGAATGAGGAAAAACACAGTAAACTGTGAATATACACGCCAGGGGTGGCACAGGATGTGTGGTATCTATTCTTAGTGTGGGGTCCCCCTAGGCAGCAGATGGGTTCCCCTTGGTAGGGGACGCATAGGTATGCGCGCGCATCACTTGTGAAAGCTACAAATAGTATAATGGAAACAGTAGTCTCAATTTGCTATTTATAACATGATTTTACAGAATATACGCAATAATTATTTACACGTAACACTAAACATTGGTTACGTTTATTGAATATTAGCGATTTTAATTACAAACTGTTTTTTTATAGACATTGATAGGAGAAAAACACAACATTTCAATATGTTCATCAACTTAAGCGTTTGATAGAAATTAACAAGTGTTAAATATTTTAGAAAATCATACAATGGCATATAACTATGATGTTGTGGAAGATAGGCATTATTCGGGAACATGCCGATATTAATTGTAAAAATATATCCTAATAATAGCTTCTATAAACATGGTTTGGTGCTTTTTATCTCGATGTATTGAGAAAAATCTATTTTCATGTGCAATACAAGACACTATAAGGTCATCAGTCATGTTAAACTAACATTAGATGAATATTTACGTAAAGAGTAAATGTCAATGTAAATGTCACAATGTCAATCATTAGATTTATTTGTAGTGCTGGTATACAATGATGAAATTTAATCATAAGGTTTATATTACAGTATTATGCTCAAGATAAACTCAAGCTTACAGTGACAATATACGAAATACTGAGTCACATATTAGGCTAAAACATAAAAGTTTGAGCTTTGTAAGAAGGGAGACAATGGTTGATATGAGGTAAGTTTTGTTTAAACTGGTGTAACGGTGAAGCAAAACGTCGGTAATGGGTAGTTGGTCAGTGATAACATAAGAATGTAGTGTGTGTTAGAATCATAAAAGGGAAAATTTGCATAGCTGTTACCAAATTAATGATATTCCAAAAGGAATGTTAAAAACACCTACAAATAACTTTTCATTACTCTGTATTTTATAATAGCCCATTTCAGCTGAGATCTTCGAAAATCTTAATTTCAATACACCAAAAACAGTGATCAGCTGACTATTCCTGACATAATCATTACTTTAGTGTAAGAAAGGGCCATGTGGCCCTAACTTTGCCTGTGTAAATAAACGATTTTTCATTTCATTTCATTTCATTTTATTTACTTTCGCTACATAAATATTACTTTCACTACACAAACAATACTTTGCCTGACAAAGCTACAATCAGCCTAGCCGTATTACGTTTAGATAAGTAAAATTAATAGATTACAAAATATTATATATTTTTTTAAGTTCGATGAAGTAGTTTTCTCATCGTGATAAAAGTATCGTTCAATACCCGTCACGAAAGTCCCATTTCGAGTCGAGATAGTCTTTTACATCCAAGTTAGTAGTGAAATATACAATAGTTTAAACTCATTGTATTTATGTTATTACTAGCTATTGCCCGACGGCTTTGCCCGACATTCTTTTCAGTTTTTATTATGAACCGGCTGAAGTTGTGACTTGACCTTTTACATTATTTTTTGTATAGTACCAATTATTAGTGATTGAATCCATTCTTATACAGCCTAAGCTAATTAGACGTATGGAACTACTGAAGTCAAGGGAGAAATTCTTCATTTAAAAATTAACTGCCCCTCTGCCAAAACCTTTGAATTACTAGCTCAGGAACAAAATCGGAGTCTATTGTTTTTATTGCAGCTATTAAGGATAGCTAGATGTTACAAAGATAAATAGATAGAAAAGTTTGTTTTGACATGACCAAACCATTAAAAATTACATCTGTCATGAATATATCTCTTTTTTTTATCAAAATCTGTTGAGAATTGAGTTAGTACGAGTGTTTGCTTTAATTTCATCCTGTATTCATTTTGTGACAAAAACTATCACTATTTTACTTTAGATTTTCTAGTGGTAACAACGAGAGGTTTAGAATAGGAAAATTGCAACGTTTTTATGAAGTTACTGGTTTTATTCGATCCAGCTGCTGTACCCATGCTTTGCAATAGAGGAAAAAATAATAGTGCTACAATCTATTGGTAAGCCTTTTAACTTTTTAATACTATTAAACATCATAGAACCCAATTTGTTGGTTTATTTGCCATAACAGCCATCTATCCATCCATCCATCCATATATATAATACGTGAAGGCGATTTCTACGAAACACTACTCCTCCGTTAATAGTGGACGGATTTTTACAAACAATGTGTCAAAATTAAGTACTTTTTGTGTAGATGCCCCCTTTCTCCAAATTCATGTAATAAAAGTCCTCGGGCTTTGCCCCAAAGGCCATCTAAATCCCAATGTATTTCTTAATAAAGAAAAGATTTTGTTTACTTAAACAGACGCATAATTTGTATTAATTACAGCTGTTCATAATAAACACATGATACACACAAGAGCGTTCGTTTTCTTTGAGTACAAATTATCTTTGAGTTGACACTTTTAAGTCATCGGAAATTATGATTGTTATTCTTTTTTAAATAACGCCGGTAATACTTTGCAATTGCTCAAATTCGAGCAACAGGTGCACTAGTCAATAATATTCTTTGATTCTTTATAAATATTCCTTCAAAATCTCTGACATATATGTACCTTTAAGACGGTTCCAGGTCTAAGCTTTGAATTATATCACGGAACTGATGGACTCCATGAAATTCTACATGTATGTTTCATAGCCCTCGATCCAGCAGTGTCTGAGTTTATCACTGCCAAATATACAAACATCCTCTTTTATTACCCCTTTATTATAGGTTATGGGCAGTTTATTTTTTTTTATTGCACAATACAAGGTTAATCCAACGAGGTAGGTTCAAATTACTAAAATAAACTTGATAAAGATAGTTTACCTAAATACAACAAAAAGATTTTGAAGAATGATCGCTAACCTATTTGTGATACAATCTACGTGAAATTAGCTAATGTAACAATTTATATCTAATTCATCAACACCATAAAAACTTATTGGTACTAAGTGAATGCTAAAAATTATAAGTTATTTGCCCTTTTTTGCCTAGATACCTAATTGTAAAACTTATATATTCATAGCCTTAATTTATACATCTCAAGTCCAACCATACAACGTAGCTTTGGATTCATCTTTTGGGCTTTCCTAACATCTACACATCTCTACATTTTATACTCTTTCAGCATATTTCGGTTGTAATTGGTATTAATTGTATGATCTAGCAGATGAGGGATACCCTAGCTTTTACCCACACCTTAGCGTCCATAAGTAAAGTACTCAACTACTAAATATTGGATATCTATGACAAGATCTAGGGCAATTTGGTATAATCCTGAGAAAAAAGGTAACACATTACACAAATGCCCAATAGTTACATACTTGATATCGGTAACAACACTTACCAGCCTGTATGTTACTACACTGTCTATCACGTGAGTTTCACCATTTACCCCATAAACCTTTGTTTTCTTAATTATAGTTTTTCAGTGCAGCTACTTTCCTAAGCTTTTCTGCTTGGAAATTTTGTCTTATAACACTATTAACCAAATATAGTAGGATTTCTAAACAAACTCATTTGTTTAAATAACCTAATTATAGTAACATTAACTACACGTGAGCAGCTATCAAGAATATGAACAGTGTTATTCAATGTAAAGGTGTAGTCTTAATGTAAGATATATCAGAATATAGTAAAAAGTGCTATTCAGGTATCATCAAACAACGTACTGCGATTAATTTAGGGAAATTAAATTATTGTTTCGGAGCTAGCATCTTAATAGCAAGTGGGTACCTAATTTACCTAAAACCATACATATGCATTTGGCATTCTTTTTAATTTTCATAATCGAAGCAAGAGATAACCACATAAAATTAGGGAAATATACTTTAAAATGTTATTGCAAACATTTATTCATTAGCCAAATATCAACTGATCCCAACGCTACTCCTTGTGTCATCATACAACCCATGGGATCCAAAAATAGCACCAAGAAGGGTTACGACTTCCTTAGTTGAGGGGAGTATGCAATTATAAACGAGCCGCCAACCTTAGCACGTGTCTCAAAACTCCGGCTTCTACCATTCATCTCCCCTTCTGTTTTTCTGTGGAGGATGATGCAATACAAACACACAGGATGTTACATGTTGCAAAGTCAACGTGATTAAACGGTCATAGTTGCTGATGACTTTAAAAGATTCGACTCAACGATTATGGAAATACTCAAGATGTATACAACAGATCGATGGGTAATTAACATTTCTTGTAAATATCTTATCATTTTTCAAAAAGCTGATCCTGTTTTTTAGTGATTTCTACAAACAGCCTTATCCATAGCCGCATTAGGTTTTCCATAATAACGATTATAAATTCTAAAAAAAAACATTATTTCTATTTCTACTCCTTGGTGGTGTTCTATGACTTTCCTATGTTTCCGTAGTTTGCAAATTGGCTCTTTCAATGATTCAAATGCAGCACAGTGTTAATTCAGGTTTCTTTTTTGTATATCAAGTTATCCAAGCTCTCTCGTTTTTTCCATTGTAATATTTACTCTAACCAAAATTCAAATAGTAAATATTTAATTTCAACCAAGTCAGTAAAATGTGTGTAGCAAATTGTTAAATTAGCAAATTTATTGACTGTTTACAATTAACATATGTTCTTATTCTCACTTTTAATTTCTA